TATAATATAATATAATATAATATAATATAATATAATATAATATAATAAATTGACTAAGTCTCCACCTGGACAGCATTGCTTTGAGAAATGATTGGTACCGCTTTGATCAACATTTCTTCAGGTAAAAGCTACCTGAAGGGTATTCAACGTATTTTGAGGTTTGAGGCTGCCATAACACCCCTAATTAAATCCATAACAACCAATGCTATTAAAAATCGGCTCTGTGAAGATGCCAGATGTTTGTTGGAGAAAATTACTGGACAAACAGACAAAACAACACTCTGGAGAGGTTTAAGGCAGTGTTTTTAAAGAAGGCACTGTGTATCAGAATTGTTCTTGGAGGGTTTTCTGATGCTCTTTTGATGGACAGAGATGCACTTTCGTTTCCTTCCACAGTTAAACTAACCACCTGCCAGGTTTGCTTTGAAAGTGCTTCCCAACACATAATGTCTTCACAGTGTCTCTGCTGAGCAAACCCTCCGTCCTGTTTGGTCGCCCAAAATAATTAATGGTGTCCAGTTTCTGGGGCCTTATTCCTAACAACACCTAAGCACTTAAATTTAGCTGGAGCTCCACTTGTTTGGTATTCCTAATCCAAGCTACTTGAAGCTAGGTAAATGTGTTTCTTAAGCTTAAGTTGCACTCCCCATCCCTGTTTTTGCTTTTTTAGCTCTTTGGGAGCTAAAACTGACAGTGTCATGTAACACAGGCCGGAGGGGTGGGGGGGGGGGCAATGTGGGAAAGCGCTGACCTGCTTGCCGACCCCCGGATGGACATTGGCCTCGTGGCATGTCCCTTACCCAGAGAGACCAATTTGCTTCATTCATCTTAGGAAACAATAGGAAATACCTTTCTAAATATAGCACCATAAAACACAATCAGGATGTAAATTGTACATTTGTTTTCCTCTCCAGCTCCACCTAACGAGTATTTATAGACATAAATTTGAACATTTTATGATTGTAATCCCCAGGTGCCAAAGCGCTGTGTGCTCCTTTAATTCACATCGCAAACAGCTCAGAGACCGCCATGCAAAATACTGGGCTGTAAGAACAGCCTTTTCCAGTCGTTTCTGAGAATTTTCTCACCTTTTCCATCAGCTCGTCAGCCCGAACGTCCAGGTCGCTCAGTTTTTCTCCTCTTTCATCCACTTTGTTCAGGTTGTCCAGCATGATGACCTTCACCTCTTCCGCCTCGCTCTGCATCTTCTCCAAGCCCATCTCCTGCAGCCAAGCAGAAAAACACAAAAATAATGGGATCTTTGTGCACACTTGCCTGCCATTTGAGGCTCTTTCTGCAGGAATTTGCAAGCAAACAATTCTTTTATTTTCACAGTAGTTCATCGGACTATAATGCTAACTAGTTGTTGTTATGCTCTTTAGGATTAGAGATAAAGAGAGAACCTTTACACTGTGGACAGTCTGCTCTTTATATATAAAAACATTCATGGATGTCAACATATAATGAATGTTTTGCTTTAATTACAGTTATTGGGTTTCAATTCTTTTGGCTTAAATTGTGATATTTCACTTTATATTTACACTTTCTCGTAGTTTTCTTGGTAAATTTACATAGAGGATTAGAGGGGAGTGTAAAAACTACTGACTTAATCATGGTTACTTGGGTGTAATTGTAGTGAAAAATTCAAGGGCCAATTCTGAGAGCTTAAGTACTGTGCTATGAATAGAGACGTAAAATCAGGGATAAAAAGGAGCTTTCTGCATCTTTCACCGAAGATTTTAAGTCGAGCCTAAAAGCAAAACGTGGAGGCCAAACTTCTGCGACGGCGTCTTTATTTCTGTTTGAATTATTGTCTCAAAGGCAACTAGTTTTAAATAAGAAAAATAAAGCCAGCTGACATCTGCCTGGAGATCAGAGCGTCTTGTTTCATAAACAGCGACTCGGTCACGCTGTGGATTTCAGCAGGTCGGATCAGATCCTGCTGTGGGAGGAGTTCACTTGTTATTTTTACAACTAAAACCACTTTTCCCCCTTTTTTCTTAACACACAATTGGGAGGCGGCTTTCGCAACACGGAAACAGCGACAGGTCCTGACAGAGAACCGGATCAGGGCAGAACAGGTCTGCCCTGATGGGCCCGAGCTGCAACAACACGGGGAGGTTTCTGCAGCGCCTTCACCTCAGAGTCATCTGTATCCTGGCAGCGTTCTCTTTCACATTTGCCCTCTGAGTCTCAGCGTCTGAGAGGGGAGGGGCGGTAACCAGCACCTCAGAAGGTGACAGGAACAGGAAAGCACCTCGCAGCAGTCAACATTTTGTCAGTAAACATCTCGGGCCGGCTGGTGGACGTGGCTGCTTTGTCTTGTGTAAATTGATTTACGTGCCCTGAATGCCAGCTTATCTCATCCTGGGCACGCCAAACGGCAGCCAAACAATAGCCTGTGTTTTACATCCAACACAGGAAGAGCTGCCCATTCCAGCGTCCCTCCTTGCTTCCTTCCTTTCCTCTCTCACTCTTCCCCACATGTACCTGGTATTGCCTGGGGGGGGGGGAGGCGGGGGGGGGGGGGGTCTCACCAACTCCCACATCTAAAAGTAGGATTTACACAGTAATAACATCATTATGCTGGCACCACGAAATTAAAGTGGTGCCAACGATGTAATATAACAGGTTAAATATTTCTGTCTTTAACAGGCAGATAACGCCACAGAGTTTGTAATCAGGGTCAAAGTTTCGCCTTTAATGCAAAAACACACGTGTTGCAGCAATTCACACATTATTATAAAGTAATTGATCAAATTCAAATTGGTTCTTTGAGAGCTGTTACACTATTTGAATCATAACCCCGCAAATTTACGGGACTGTGCACGCAGATCGGAGAAGGTGAAAGTAGGTTTTCAGGTTTTCTCCCTCCGTTTTTATCTACGATGACTCTTGGCTGTTGTACCTGAGCAGTTTTCTCCCCACAGGATCCGGGTTTTTACTCACCATGCCTGCGGCTGCGCGTGTCTCTCTTGAGTTTACGGCCGAAGTGTCAGTGGGTTCCCCGCGGCGAAAGGTCAGCTGAAGGCAGCTTTATGCGCACAGGAAACTAAGCGCTGTGACACAAAACCTAACAGTGACGCCCCGAAGTTTCCTTTTCTACTTCCTTTCTTGTCTTTGAGTGCTTTCTTTTCTCTTCTTCTAGTGCGGATTCGTCCTTCACACTTTCGCTTCTGCTTGCAAACTCTTCTGCGCTCTGCCCTAGAGGCGTTCAGGGTATTCCCGGAAAGCTGGGATTTACGGAAACGAGTCACATGAGCAAACCAACTAATGACAAGCCGGCAATTGTTAGAACTTCTGGATATAGAGGGTGCATTCACTATCTCACCCCTACAACAATTAAATCCCTGAACTGAATCTGCTGGGAAACATCCAGCTGTGATGGAGCTGCTCACTCGGAGCAAAGATTTAGGTTCTGTTCTGACTTTAACAGGGATGTTAAATTTCAGCTAATGAAGATTGGTTTAAACTGGAGAAACAAGATCAGAACTTGGCTGCATCAGCTGGAGGCTTCAGCATCACTTAGCTGCCATGTCTTTAAAAGTAATAACAAGCCAACGGATTGAATTCTGACTTTTTAGTTTTAAAATAAAACATGTGTTTTAGCTTATTTTTTCAAGTCGGGATATTAGATTACATGTACAAGGCCAACATGTCCCCCTGCTCACTGCCATTAACAAACCAGCTGTGCCTAATTGCTGTATGGCACTGAGCATTTCCTTATGTTGGCTTCGGTTTTTCTCCTGATGTTGCAATCACCGGGACCCTGCTCTGCGTTATCTCCTTCATGCAGCCGGGAAACTCACACATGATAAACCAATGGCCTCTCCGCCTCTGGAGAGCCCAGTTTGACTCTGGCAGCGTCTCAGTGCTCTCGTTTTCATGATGTTTGCTCACTCGAGGGTGTTCCCCACTTATACTTAAGGGCCATTTGAGTTGTTAAAAAAGGTGGCTGCTGGTCCACCCTTTGAGAAATATGTGAAATATTCATATAATATCCCCACAGGGGCCACTGCTGAGTCAGGCCTGCACTCATTGCTGCTGACATCGCAGCTCTTTGTGTTTCCTTTTCATTAGAATCATGATCACGATGGGTAACTTTTCTTTCTGAGAGAGCACAATGTCCGTGTTGTCCTCTTGAAAACGCCTGTTGTGGGACATAACCGTGACATAACTGCTGGGAAGGCTGAGCCATGAGGCATGCCTCATGGCAGGGTCTCATGGCCCCTGTTTCTGATGCATTATGCGGGCGTTTAACGATGCGTACTTCCTTGTGCGTCTGTGGTCTGAGTGATGCTTTTGATGAAAAGCCGACGAGCAGACAACAAATCTCTACTGTGTCTCAGCTTCGTCACTCACGTGGGCAATTAAAATCCCTCTGAACCCTCCTCAGCTCAGCCTGTGTTGGCAATAGTGAGACAAACTAGCAAATCTAACCCCGAATGGGCCCAAAACTGAAACCTTTTCCTTCTCTAAGCGATCTGAACGCCATCAGATGCTTTCTAATCGGCACGCTGTTGCATCACCTGCTTCGTATGAAGCCAGAAGAGGATGTGGATAATCATTGTATCTGAAGAGGAAGTAGGGCAATTTGTGCTTTCCTTCTTACAGCATTAGCAGGGTGAACGTCCCTCCTCAAGGGAATTTTGCAAAACGTCAAAATCCCCCAAGCTTTCCTTTGTTAGGTCAATAAAACTTCCCTTACTGAAGTATTATGTACCAAGTCTGTATGGTAAACAAGCCACAAACTGGTACTTTTGCCAGAGATTAAAGGTTAAACACCATCCAGAGAAAACATTCACATTGACCAACAAATCCTTTAGAAACAGAGACCAGAAATGGGAATGAAACCGGAGCTCTAAAGGGGATCTGAGTACCTATGGTCAGAGGTAAAGAGATTGTCACATGATGTGGGGTTTCCCACCATTCACATGGAAAACAGACAGAAAGGTGATTAAAGTTTAGACTTAAACCAGTTGCCTGAACCTAATAAAATGCTAAACAGGGAGGAGGACTCGAACATGACCATTCCAGATGAGACGTGGACCTCTATGCTTAAACCTTTGAAAAAACAGGCGTTGTCGTTTTGTTGTCTGTTAGCGAGGTGCTTCATTCTAATCAGGAGGGAGGGAGCTGCTCCTCCAGCTCACAGACAGGGGTTTAAGGCTTATGTCACCCTTTGTGGTGGAAAAAAAGCTCTTATCTTTAGTACTCCTCTGGGAAGTTTAAAAAGACATTGGGCCCCTTGCTGTGCGCATTTCCAAACATACAATAATATTTTGAGTGAATTAATCAGCTTCAAAATGTGTTCTCTCTTCCTGCCAGTGGTAAAACCTTGAGGGCAGTGACATGTATAGAAGAGAAAAATATTTTTTTTGCTGCATTTTTTGTTTTTGTACATGTTTGTGTGAATAGAGGAAATAACTTTAAGAAAAAGACAATGATTAAAAAAGCTAGCTTCACACTTGTTTGAGTTATGACACACTAAAAGGGAGCTGTTTGTGTTGGCTGGGCTTCTCAGAATAAACAATAATGAACATGATTCTGTAAACAGGAGATGAAAGTCATGATAAAGCCAGCATTGATTATCAAATGTATTCCCTGAAAGAGCTTTTTGTGCTTTTGCGCTAAATAGGAAGTAAATTACACTTTATTAATCCACACTATGATTTTATGGTATCATTCCCCTCTTCCCCCAGCTGGTCCACAAAGATGGTTTTGGTTCTGAAGGAGGATTCTGGTTGTTAAAAGGGGGACTTTTTGCCATTGTCCACTGTTAATAGTTCCCTTTATCCCTTTATCATCAGCACCACCCAGAGACTGCACATAGAGGGCTTCTGGTCAAAGACGACAGCATTTTGAAGGAAAAAGTCAACCTGAGACTCAGGTGTGCCTCAGCTGTATCCCGTGTGGAAACATTTATTATCAAATGCAACAGATAAACTGACTGATTAATCAGAGGAAATTGACTAAGAGTAGATGGAATTATAATATACTTTGGATAAAATCAACTTGAATTGATTACAAATATCAAAATGTAAAAATGGTAAACTTAGTTTAAAAAAAAAAGGTCAATTTGGTTTCAAACCTAAAAAAAAACATTTCTGCCTTCATGTCAGAGGAAAACAACTGTAGACTTGCTTTTCAAGTGAATTATTCACAGTTCAGTTTCATTGAGCTTTACTGACCTCTATGGATAATTACAAGGAACTGAAATGAGCATCCCTTCTTTGCTCTCCTTCAATTGTCTCATTCATACTTTAGTTTTTTAATCAATTTTCAATCAGATCGCAGTTTTTTTTAACCATTTTCAACTAATCAGGATTTTAAACCCATTTTTTCTCCCCAAATTTCAGCCAATTCACTGGTCTTCTCCTAGAGGTCAGAAATGTATCTAGCGCAACGTTCAACCACTAAAACTCTCTTTTCTGTTCAGGAATTACAGGACATAAATAGCATTTGACATCTTGATCAGAAAAAGTAATGTTACTTACTATTTTCTTCATTCTTTTGGTAAAACAGAATATTTGAAAATGCATTGATAACAATAACAATTCGATTTCAGTGTTAAAATTAGAATTTGGGCTGCAGAGATTTTAATTAATAGAGTAAAACCCACGAAGATGCAGCAAAAACTGGCTCAAAATATAACTTAGAAATGGGGTCGAGAAGGCGCCCACATATTCATCACAGCAGATCCAAATTCAGGTCAGACATCCACAAATCTCTGCTCACTTTCCCTTATTTTCAAGCATCAAAATGCTCCTGAAAGCTGGTAAAAAAAAACAGTTCTTGAAATATATCAAACCTACAGTTTTGAACCGTAGTCACATTTGAGTTTTTTGTAAGACTTCTTTTATAATTATTATTATTCTTTCGGTTCAACTTGAGTTTCTAGATCCTGAAGCAGCATTTCACACCCAATTTGGATGTTTGATATTATAATCTATATTATTTATCAATACATCTTATTTTAAATAATATTATGTTTTCATGGTTTATGTTTTGTTTTCATGTTTTAAGGATTTTGTATAAAATCAGGAATCACCATCTACAATAACAATTTCATAACTCCTTAACTAAATTAGTTTCACCGACATTTAATTCCCCTCCGGAATAAATAAAGTATTCTTTAATGGAGTTTAATTGAATGCCTAATTATGCCTTGCTGTTGATTGGGAGAAAGACCTTTCTCAGTCCGTACACTAGGGGGCACTGCAGCCCCACAGAGAGGCAAAAGCCTGCTCCTGGGTTGTCTTTAAGCACTCATTGATTATCTTAGGTAGGACATATGGGATATAACATGGGCTTTGGGTAACCTTTTTATTCTGATATGTTTTTAAGGATACCAGAATTCCTTAGGTGGACCTGGCTCGTCCACATTAGTTTACGTTGTGTTTAATAGATGAAAAGTGTGTTGTTGGGTGTTAGGCTACCTCAAATAGCCTTTAAGTTACAGTAAGCTAACTGTAGCATGCTAACAACAAAGTTTCACATGCTACACATGTAAATAAATGTATAAAACGTTGCGGTGCTTTATCTGAACAATGTATAAATATATATAATTGTAGAAAATTCGGGATTAGTGTAATCTCAAGTCGCAGTTTTGATACATTAAGCCCCAAACGGTAACCATTGCGTTAGCCGTCCTTTAGTGTCCTCTTCACTATGTAGTTTGATATTTGTCCTTTTTTTTAAACTCTCAGACCCTCGTGATTTGTTAGCCGAATGAAAAGGGGAACCGTTTTTGTTAAATTCCTTCGATATTTGTCACGATTTTTCAAGAAACTGCTGAACTTTATCACAATGCGTGGACTTTTAACGAAAGTCATAAACAGAGTTTTGCTGAGTGAGCTCTTTACACCAGCGATGGGCATCGAAGCAGAGATTCATACAGAAGGCCGTCGAAAGCTGGTAAGTTTTGAACACCAGATAATCTCAAATGTTTTAACCAACACACGGTTTGTTACTTCGATGCTAATTGTTTAAGTGTCTTCCCTAGACATGTGTCACTGTTAAATGACGATCATTCACAAAGTACCAAACACTGCTTATAAATCTGTGAACTCGGATATTTTGAAAGTTTGCTCTTGTTCTCCCTCCCAAAATTAATTTCTAAACAAGCGTTTTAAGTAAGTTTTAGACTCTTTTTAAATTCGGCATAACTGTCATTCAGCTCAATATTATTTTGGGAAAGATACAACACATATATTCAAGATGAAATGTTCAGTGACATTTTGTATTACTGTGAGACTTTTTTTTCACAGATCTTTTTAAGGGCATACCAATATTTTTTCTATGTAGAGCTGTAAAAAAAAAAGTGCCCTGTGTGTTTATTAATGTGCTGCACAGATGAAGTCTTCTTTGCCAGTTAACCCTCCATTTGTAGAGTGTGTCTTTTTCATGTCCAGCAAAATGACAGCTGAGCGTGTGAAGTCATCACAATGTCAGCAGTGTGTCACCAGAGAGAGTCTGAAACAATGTAGTGACAGTATATCTATGTTTAACAGTCAAAATTTGATTTGTTTCTTTGATTAAAAGGAAAATAAGCTTTTTTTCATACACAAATTGGTGGATTTTAAACCCCTCGTAGTGTGACTCATCTCTCCCACATAAAAATACTCTGTCAGTCAAGATGTTGTCACACAGGCATCATCTGTTCAAACCTTCTATTAAGCTGAGCTTTCGTTAAACAAATGATCATTTGGATTCATGGATCAAATCAGTGGTTTAGAGCTGTTGCAGAGCTGTAACCCCTGTGTGTGTGTGTGTGTGTGTGTGTGTGTGTGTGTGTGTGTGTGTGTGT